ATAATACAGTACTTGTCTAATAAACATTCAATGACACAGACAGTTAATCCACATACAAATGCTTTTCATTTTTTAGGAACTCTAGTAAATACAGAGCAGATGGGCAATGTATTTGGATATTAATATGGCATTTTTGTTGTTACTCTTTTTATTAATTTCCTCTCTAATTAGAAACAGGAAAATAAAATAAGCAAATGAGTAACAACAAACTGTCATTGTTTAGATACTGTATGGTAACAAATAATTAATTGCATTGATTTTTTATTTATTAGGTGAAGTTGGCTACCCAAGTCTTAAGTACATCTGTTGCTATAGCACTGGAAGAATGTGGATATGCTTATGTCCTTGCAACAGCGAAGTTCTGCAAAATGATGAATGATTTCTTTGACTGCACAAATGTGATGTCAATGACTGAATATGTCAGTAAAAGAAATCAATTTGTCAAGCCATACACCTGCCAAGATGACGAGCGATTCAGCTGGCTGAAAGATGTGTTCTTGGGGTACTGGATAGTTGGAAAAATTCGACAATGGCAAGAGATGGTGAATACTCCACTAACAACAGAGAGAAAATGTTTCTTTCCACCCAGACCTACAAGGGTCTCAAGATCTCTGTCTACTCCCATATTGAGGCAATTCAGTTCTTGCTTGCTCAGGGATTTCAATACGTTCTGAGCGAGAGATTTATGCAGGATGTAGTTGAAGACTATTTTGGGCACCAAAGAGCAAAAGGTGGATGATGGTCAGACAACCCGACAGCCCAGCAATTTGGTTATAATGACCTCACTATCACAGCACAAAGAGATATTGCACCAGTTGTACGTGGTAATGTGGCAGTCATTATGGGAATGAGAAGTGCTACAAAGTCGGTCATGAACCAGTGCATAAAAGAAAGAAAAATGAGTGATTATCCATATATCTAAATAGAAAGTTGATATGTGTGTAAGCATTTGAATTTTGAAAAAATTGTCCTGAGTTTTCCTTTGTCTTTCACAGAAGTGACCACAGTAATTCTGATTTCATTAAAGAAATGTAGAAAGCTCAGAATGATTTGAATTTGAATAAACATGATGCTAATTAACAAATGATCTATCTATTTATAATTACTAAGTTTCATCAACCATATAGAATATATATGGCACTCCCCAATTTAAAAACTCAAGCCATTTCATCACAGGAACTGAAAACAGAATATAAGCATATCTAATAACTTTTGTACATTATGGCTTACCAGTTAGCTCTGCAAACCTTTTCTGTTTGCTCATTATAAAAAATTCAGCCAGGCTGAGGTCAATATGTTACCTCCACGATACTGCTGAAACATTTAAAAAATTTTGTGACTGGCACCTCCAGTGTATCAGTTACGTACACCTTGTGTGTGATTAACCCATTAAGCACCAGCACTCTTCGCTTGACAAGTAAAATTGTCTGGTGTTTATAGACAGAGTAAAATTTTCTGGCATTAGACAGAGTAAAATAATAAAGCAGGGTGCAGTATGACAGTGTGAGTAAATTGACCTGGACCCTGGTGAGATTTTATTTCAAAGTGGTCAGTATCCTGGCTCTATATAAAGCTATTTTTGTCATATAAACATTTTATATGACGGTTCACTTGTAAAAATCTAAAAACACCTTTATTAATAGTGCTGCAGCATGTCTATATTTATACACAATCAGAGAAATACTTGTTAACATATGTGTAATAAATTAAATTGCTGTGTCGGCAAAAAATACTTCATTTGAACATTAACTGCCACACCACTGATCATTACAACAATGTCATTTATGTTCAAATTAGGTAATTTTTTAACATGGTAAGTTTCAATATATTGTTTGATCAGCAATACTTGGATATATTGTTTAGGTAAAATGCAAATTCTAACTGGGATATCAGCAAGTGAGTCAATGTGATGTTGTTGAAATTCACCACCCCACCTAAAAGAGGGCTAAAAAAACAGTTGTTTTTGTTTTCATGTGGGGGGGGGGGGTTGTTGGAAATTTAGGTGGCTCTGGCCCTCCCACCGGAAAAAGTGAATTTCCGCCACCGAAAGGACGGTATTTCAATTTTGTAAAATCCAGGCTAGCAAAAGATATATTTTAAAAAGCTTTATTAAAACATGGTTCAGTATTTCCCTAATAACAGTTCTTATTTAATACATGGTTCTTATACTATTTACACAATTTACATACAGTTCATGTCCTTTCTAAGTGCCCTTTTTTTCACTTCCTTTTCTCTGATCTTATATTTTATTACTTAATCTTTAGCAAGATCTTACTTCCAAATAAAGTTTGATAACATTTTCTAAACATTATTTTGTAGTGGAACTACCTGAATTTATCCTGGATGTGAGTACAATGTTATCCCACAACGATTTTACTGTGGGGGACTCCAGCGTAGAAAAGCATATCTTGTTAGTAGGCATATTCCTTAGAACCAGTTTGGATTTGCTAACTTCATTGCTAAAAAGGACTTCAGCTTCCTCTAAGATTCCTACAAAATCATTACATGGTGTGACCAGGCCACCTCTTGTACGGGCTGATATGAAACTGTTCGACTCTGCTGATTTCATACTCTGCAGTAATGCTTGAAGTTCCTCGTTTTGTGGGCTAGACTTTCCTTTGTTCCTTTTGAATAATTGTGAAACGACATACCCACCAACATAGGAAAGAGGCCCACGTTCAGCTGGATTGATTTTGATAGCTTGTTCAGCAGCAGGGCTAGATTCTTCTTTATCTCTCATTTGGCTTATGTTATAAAAGCCAACTAAATGATCTGGAATGTGAATCATAATCAGGTTTGCTACTTTGAAGTCCTCACAGTTCAACAATTCGCATGATCTTGGTATTAAGCCATAGAAATCCTCCAACAGCTTGTCTTGATTTTTCTTGGTAATAAATGTCTTATACAATGGCAATATAGCTTTGAACAAAGCTTCACCCACTGATACCATTTTAAAGCTAGTGTTTATTTCATCACAATATATATTTTCTTGTATTATATTGTTTTTTATTGTTTCGACAATCGAAGCTATTGTAGCTTGACAAAGACCTGTGTTTACACGTGAACCCGAATCACAGTTTAATGATATTCAGTTGTGTAACTCGCGGCCGTCAGTATTGATTATGACGTCCCCAAGAATCGAATGCTCGCGTCATTTTTGTCACGTGACGAAATCGCGAAAGACCGTGTCGCTTGCAGATTTCAATACAAAAACATAAGGGAAACAGCATTCGAACGGTGAAATATGCTAATTTTACAAAGTTTGTGTACTTGATGGAGGTTTTGGGGTTAAAATTTTGCAAGCCAATGGTAAGTGTTTTATATAACATGTATTGTTGTTTCATATCAAATTTCTTTCGTTAGAAATTGCAAATCAAATAACCAAGTGTAAAACCACGAGGTTCGGAGGCTGTCATAGCTGCTGCATAAAATTTCGAAACTGATTATCAACTAAACAAACTGGGGCCGGTTGTATCAAGCCCGTTTAGCTTAAACGGTGGATAAGTCAAAATTAAATAACACTCTTATATCTTTCGTGAATCAGTCAACTTAAATATTCTGCACTGAATATATAGTTGTAAACATTATCGTTCTATTAAGGTTCAAAACTTTTAGTTTGGTTGTTTAATGAATCTATAGACTTGCTTTCTATTTTGAGCTTAACCACCGTTTAAGCTAAACGGGCTTGATACAACCGGCCCCTGGCATGTAAATGTCTTGTTTCTCTTTTTATTAATAACAAAGTCATGGTTTGGATCTGTAGACCATTCTCCATTTTAAGGTTAACATGCAGTAATATAAATGTTCAAATCTCAATACAGTTCCGTCACTCAACGCAATCCAAGACTGTCTGTCGGTCAACAATATTGAAATATTAAATTCAACATAATTCATTTTCATTTAGTTTTCATAAGTGCTGAATCTTGATATACTTTCTGTTTTTTTCTTTTTCCTGTCTTTCTTGCTCTTAATTCTTGGTTGTTGAACTTTAAAATGCAATGCAAACGCATTTTTACAAATAACTCAATGAGGTACATGCTTGGGAAATAAGAACACTCTGATACACAAAACATTGGCAATTTTGCAGTTATGTGCTATGCAATTTTTTATCTTTGGATATAACAACTAAGTTAATCAACAACTTTGCTCTCTATTTTAGTGACATACTGAATAAATTCATCTTGAGGACCAGTCAGTCCTCCAGAGTCAGTGCTCTTGTTTTCATAAGCTTTAAAATAGCACAGTAGCTGGCTGCTGTTGGTCAGGGTAAGCTTATGTGCACAAGTAAGGCATTTCTGTTTGTCCAGACATTTTCGCAGTAGGTATCCTGCAACATATGTCAGTGCATTCATGGACATTAAATTCTTCTCAACTTCCTCATGCTTGTAGTCTTTCTCGTCCATTACAGGTCCTTTCTTGGTGTTCTTTTGAGTACCTGGTCACCAGAAATGTGTCTGAATCAGCAGCAGTGGCATAACTACTATTGGCTCGGACCGGGCAAACCCGGCGGCCCCCAACCCCAATGGGCCAAATGGGGCCCCCCAGGCTCAGGCTGTAGAGCAAAAACATTGGCCAGGGTTTCTGATATGTTAGAATGTCGTTTTCTGACCATCAGAAGTCTGTAAAATCTCTCCCCAAAGTCTGGGAAATGGCATTTCAGAGAGTCTAGATTCAAGAATTTTCCATGCGAGCATGCTCTGGACCCCCTAGAAAACTTGTGCATGATATGGCACTCAACTCGTGCTTTTGGCACTTCTACTAGGGGGACCTTCGAAAATTTTGAACTGGGGACCCCCTGATATTTTTTTATTATTTAATAACATGCCACTGATCAGCAGAACAGTTGAATTATGTTCAACAAAAAAATTATAAAGTGAATGACCTTAACAAAGCTTAACCTTGATTAGTAGGTTCAACAGGATTATGTTGTGTTCCAGAATAAATTTACATTGGTCTTGAGGATGGACCTAAATATTAGTGGGACATTGATTAATTCATTTTTAAATTACTGTTCAGAAATCTAATTGATTAAAATATTTTTTGCAGGAGATGCTTTGAAGAAGAAGTCATGGTGTAATACCTGTAACTTAATCATCATTAACTGAATTTGAAGACTCTGTACTTGAATCATTTAAAGGATTAGTGTCAGGGTCATGCATTGTGGGCTTTTGTTATTGTTTACATATTATGCAATACATCAAATAGTGATAAAAATACTTGTTTGGTACATTTCTCATAAAAATCAGACAAAAAGAGCAAGGATTTATTTATAAAAGGATGGTTTAAATATATGATGGATTGTAAACACTTTCCAGATGACCTAATCTATTCGTCCCGAAAAATGGCCGCCGGCATGAGTTTGAGCCCGCAAATTCTTAAAGGAATGTTGATGGTCACAGTGGTAGTACTAGTTGATGGAACTGAACCATAAACCTCCGACTATAAGCCCTGGGCTTATATTATTTCGTAAGCGATTTTTGATGGGATTATACAAGGGGGGGGCTAATACATGGATGATTTTTTGTGTTAGTGTAATAGTAATAAACATAGTAATAGTGATAAATAGTGGTAATTAAGTGATAAACAATAGTGATAAACAGGTGGGCTTATATTCGGGGGGGGGCTTATATTTGGAATGAGGTGAGCATTAGTACACAGGGGGGCGGCATATATTCGGAGGGCTTATATTCGGAGGTTTACAGTATGGGTACTCAGCCCAGAGTCTGAAAATAATATTTATATACCTTTTATTTAATAACATCACTGTAAATGCAAGTATTTTGTTTACATTCGCAGCCTTTCATACATATACCACATAGGCGACAGAGCTAAATGTACATGCCACAAAAACTATATATTCATACACATTAAATACACATTTGTATGGAACACATAATTTTTTAATAGTTCAAAATATAAAAGACAAATTTCACAACAAAACAGATTAATAGGCATTTAGTTTTCGTTAATATATTTTACTATAATACTATTTAGTACGTAATTGTACCTAAACTTTTATATGATTACACAGGATTGAAAAATAATATGATACTACTGTATATTAAATATTAGACTCTCTACATTAAATTCTAAAAACTCATTTTGTTTTACTGTATATTGAAGAAAACCAAACATCCAACCTTTCCCATATAGTTGTCCATTTAGAATGTTGTAAAGTCATTTGTTTTTAATTAAACATTTACATGTAAAAACACAATTCCTCTTCGTGGTAACTTCGTAACTGGAACATAAACATGTTTGATATAAATTGATTTGTAGTGGCTAAAATCTCCGCAGTTTATGTTCTTCGCGTCTGCAGGAACCGGCGTTAAACTTAAAAAAAGTTAAAAAAACAATTTTACAGTGTCATTGGTTTAAAATATAGCCTTCTATAAACCTAAGTCCAAACTATCCTGCAACTTCCATGCCAAACAGCCAAAACAACATGAACAGTAAGAAACTCACCCGAAACTGACAAGGGTTCTTGACGTTCGAACAATCGAAAATTAAACTTCATCATTCGAGGCTTCAGGCTTAGTGACATAGTGTTAACCAAAAACCAAACAATATTTTCAAACATACATCGTTATTCCTAGGATGTAGTGCTAAAAGTTTACATGCTTTCGATGTGACTTTACGTTGGAAACACCTTTTTATAGTTTCTGAAACTTTGTCTTTGTTCTTCGTATTCACATTTGAAGCATGGACGTCATGGGCCATGGCACTTCTCACTCCTCGAGTCATATAATTTCATTTTTTGTCGATATCAACCGATTCTTAAAGGCATTTTCTTGTGGAAAATTTAGAATGACATCCCTTCCTGTAAAATTTGTGTAAGTCCAGCATTCCTGATGGATATATTCTTTAAAATCGTAGTTTTAGTGTCCAAATTTTTTATTTTCCTATATGCTTTCAGACAAAAAAAAACACATGACACGGTCTTTTGCTTCGCGCATGCGCATTAACCATGGGGGGACAGGAAATTCCGCGAGTTACACAACTGAATATCATTAAACTGTGACCCGAATCAACACTTTCGCCTCTGTTTCGAGTTGCTATGTCTCGTTGTTAGTCCACCTTTTGATTTACATATTTTATCACACTTCGTGCATGGAAATTCTTTCTGACCTTCGATTTCAACCAAAGCATCAATAAACTCTTGATCTACTTCTGTAACGTCAGCCTCAGTAAGATCACAATTGGCAAGATCGAGAGAAATATTCAAATGATATAAATCACCAACATCGGAAATCTCATCGTCGCTGTCACACTCTAAGCGACGATCCTCGGCCTCATCCGCTAATTTTTCTTCTAAATGTTGGCTAACTTCAAGATTAACATTCATTTCATGTTCCATGACAAGAAACAAAAATTTTAGACCAGCCGCAGTGGCTATAAAGCAAACAAAACACTTTTGATTGTGTCAAACCACTCGGAAGTATCAAATTACAAATTGCGAAGCTCGCATCGATGAACAGTTCGCATCACATGATATTTTTCTCTTTGATCCTCAACATCATTTGCCGCCCTTATCGAAGTTTCGCTGCTAGCCTAACCATGTAGGTCTATTAACCATGTTAGAAGTTATCAAAGAAGTACATAGATTACCAACTTTTTTGGGGTGAGAATATTCCACTACTTGTTGCCATAGTAACACCCTTGATATGAAATGAGTCAACAGGCACATAAAACAAACTGGCGAGCTTGTATTTGTCAATGCAACATCAAGCACTGAGGAGCACAATTTGAAAGTTTTCCTTTTGTGCACACACAGTGTTGTTGGAGCTTTGCCATGCTTGCTTTTGGGTTACAAGCTTCATATTGTTCCAGGGTTTCAACAAAACATCCCATCATGCTTTCCACCAAATGTTTCTTTCCCAAACTGCCCATAAATATAAAGAAAGTCCCTTCTTTGTGGCATTGTTGACCTATCAGCTTTCTTTACATGCCAGAGGTCTTCAAGATACTGTTGCCTTGCTGTTGAAGGAGTGTGACAAGCTTCATACAATTTCTTTATCTTTTCAATTACTTCCATGCACAAGTCCTTGAAGTTATATGCTTCAAGATTATCAGTTGAGTGGTTGTGCACCCAGGCCAGGTCAATGCTCCAGGAATTACATGAATCTATTTTGATGACAAGTTGAAATGGACAATTAGTATTCTTCACTCTTGCTGTTGGATCAATCTTCAATCGTCACTGGGGGTCTTTTGTTGGGCTGCAAACCCTAGTGTTGTGTTGACATCTATAATAATTTTGGACGACGTATCCTTTAGTCTGTTTCTTCTTTACCTTCACATTGAGGCTAATATCATTGATTTCTTGAAATTGCAAAAGCCATCGATCCAAATTCTCATGTTTTCAGTCGCGACACATAACTTGAACTGCGAATGACCAGATGAAACAAATTCTCAAATGGTGTACTGATAATCTTTAGGAAACTTCTCCAATGCTTTTGTTTGAATTTCTTCTTCCTGTTGTAGTGACAAATCTTTCCAAAAACTGCTTCCCTTCCACTGGCTAACATACAATCTGTGTACAGTATGGTAGGTGAAATTAAAAAAAGTGAATAGACTTACTACCCAGTTTGAATGGTATAAGAATATACCCAACATTAACTGCACTGCTTCATGCAGGGTGATCTTTTGAACAGATGCAGCCATTCCAACTGCAGGAATCCATGAGCACTTCTCTGTTTTCTTATTGTTGCAGCCACCAGCTATCAAGACAGAATAAAATAGTGGGGCTCTCTTTTCCACCCTCTTCATTCTCTCATTGAAACGAAAAGTCAAGCATTTTCTGCTTGGTTTTTGATATGTTTATTTCTCCACGCTGCATTTGCAATTTGCTTGAATATGCCACAAACTACCATTTTTCCCAATGACTCTAAGTCTGGATGCAAACTTTTCTCCACTGTTTCGCAAGGCCATGCTACTTTGACATTCACATATGTTATGACTGGTCGGTGTTCTTTAAAAACTCATACAAATATTTCGGAGTATCAACTGTTCTTCCTGGTGGTGTTGTTGATCCAACAACATTTGTCAAACTCGCTCATTTCACTGGTTGAGCTCATCCGCTGTTCTTTCTTGCCCTCTTGTAAGTTTCCCTTTTTGAAATAGATTGCTGAGCTCTGATACAATGGTTTTTTTCTTGAGAAATCAAGCGTACTCTCTTTCGAATGGAATACTTTGAATGGCAATTGCTGAATGGCTTCTTTAAGTTTAATCACACGGAAACACAAAATACAACAAATGTTGGCTTCTGAATATGAAACAGAATGTGCGTCCGCCATGAATATTTATGACTGGAAATACTTTTGAGCTAATGCGTACAGAAATTTATTTAGTTATGCATGTAGTGGTCGTACGTCACAAAACATGATTATGTCTGCAGTTTAGCAGACCGGAATTATCCCCCCTTGGAAATTCCAGGTGGCAAGCATGCTAGCAAAACTTTGGTAAGTTATAGATTACAATTTAGTGCCAATGTGCCTTCCTCCATCCCTTACACAGTCTGAATCCAACTACAATCATCTAGCATGTAACTAATTTCTACTTTTTGAATTGATAATAGATTATGTAGATGAAATATATCAGACCATGGTAGAAGCAATTGGAACAAAAAAAATTGAGGATGCAATTGATGAATTCATTGAAAAAAACACCTGTTCCCATGAATACAATGCTTAGCTATAGCAACCAATGCTTACCAAACAGTCACAGGAAGAGGCAATTTGAAAAGAGGAAGGAAAGAGATAGCATGCAACTTGTGGACATTCCACCAACAAGTCCAGATGTGAAACAGTTCATATAAAGCAGTATGCTTATGAAATATTTATACTTGAAACCAGTAGTACAATGATGGGTTAATGTTGAGAAATCTAAATATTTGTTATCATCATTTTAGTGTGCAAGCAGCCAATGAAAGGCCATAAGAATGTATCTAACTGTCCATGAAACAAAAAAGATTAACTCGACAAGCGACATTTTGATTCAATTGTTTTAACATAAAAATATTCCGTCAAAACAAATACACAAACTGAAACAATCATATGTTTACTCGCCGCTCGGCCAAACATTCTGTATTTCATATGGAGAAAAACTTGAATATCTTCTAAACTCTTCAGAATTCGCCACAAGTTAATATGAGTAAAATATTCCTTAACAGCTTTTATGTAGAAAGTTTCGTTTGAATACGGCAAGTAGAGATGTTTATTTTGATTTTTTTTAAAACTCTGGTTAAAACCAGATTTTTACTCCCATATGTGTGCTGCATGTAAAATTGGACAATAAGGAGTACCTGTAGCCCGCTGCAGGTGTAATTTGACCTTTAGAATTGATTTCCGACATTTTCCGAGCACTAGGATGTAAACACGCGATGTTTTGGCAAATTTGAAAATAACACTTTTAAATATTGTTTTGGATTCTGGTTCGAATAAGACTATAGCAAAAACAATATCTCCAAAGGGGCCGAAGTTATGTTCGGCAAAAGGTATGGACAGTTTACATTGTTCGAGACAATTGATTAATATAATGAAATATGACACCGCTGACCTCTCAAAAGGTCAAAATAGCTATACAATTTGACTAAAACTATATTCAACTAAACTATCGATAGAAATTGGAAGATATTGTTTCACTGAATCGAATGGTAGTATTTTCATCTACATAGCATTTACCAAACCAAAGATATGAAATCTGCGAAGTCATAAATCACCAGTGATTTATGCTAACAGGGCGTGTAGAGAAAGAGTTAACTGACAATGGGCCATTTTCACAATCATGTGCAGTGTGCGCACATGGTTTTGATCAATCTTTGGCAGGCCCTTTAACCCATTCAGTGGCAGCACGGAGGAGTAATATCATCCTGGCATTAGACAGAGTAAAATAATAAAGTAGGGTGCATTGCCACTTAAAAAGTTAACAGGGTGCATGGCCAGATAGATAGTAAAATAGTCTGGCATTGCACACAGTAAAATAATAAAGTAGGGTCCATTGCCACTTAAAGGGTTAAAACAACTATGATGGATGGGCCTGCCAAAGATTGCTGAAACCATGCGTGTATACACAGTTTGGCATATAAACATACATGTATGATATGAAGTCCTAATTTTTACAAGTATTGTGAACACATGATTACTGCACATGCATCAGAAAACATGGCAGACATGAAATTTGTTGTTCTTGTGAAATTGTAATATTGTAGTCAACATTATTGGGTTTTAAAATTTTTTTATAGTATTTTTTGTGTGTAATATGTTATCATGATTTATGAATGCCAGAGTATTTAACAGCAGATCAATTAAAACAAATACTGGATGAGAAACTGGAACAGAAGCTAATACCACTGAATTGGAGGATTTGAAATGACATCTCATACAAATAAATCACTATTTAATTAATTTTGATCCAGTCCAAGGACTGAATTAATTTTGATCCAGACCTAGGACTGGATCATTGTACTTCATCAGGTATCCAGTATTATGTGAGCAAAATAAAGCACTATGGTTGGCTAATTTACTGACAAATTATTAATGAGTTTGAGATATTTCCATGCACAAATGGACTCCATTGACATTCCAATACCGAGTTAAGTCTTCATTCTCTTCAGAGCTGTATGTTATGGTATCATTCAGTAACACAGTTTTCAAGCCATGGTCTATTCCAGTCAGTTGGTTGCATTCATGACACTGCTTGTTGTGGGTATGTTTGCATTTCTTGCTGAATTCTTCATTCACTGGGTCATTTAGGGCATAAGTACACCAACAATCTGCATATTGCGATGATTCAGTGACATCAAGGCGGCATTTCCTTTCATATATCTGCGATAATTCTTTAATTTCATTTTAATATCCATAAGCATGTCATTCAATAGCTAAAAGCCTGATCTTTCCGAATATGAAAACCAATTGTTCATACGCCGATATAATAGCACGCTTGCCATGTTTTCAAGCGTAGTAAATCACCAAATGGAGTCATTAAACTGTGCAAAACGATCCAAAAACTTGCTAAACTGTGTTGTTTTCTGTGCGATTGAAGCCATTTTGTTTTCTGCGTTTTATTGGGTCAGCTGAATCCCTTTTCAAGTACTTCATGCTACATTATGTGAAGAGGCAGCGAAAAGTGGCGGCAAATTTAAAATGACATCACATTTTTAAGAAACTAAAATACTCATTTGTGGAAAAATGTCTCAGAATTCACTGCTAAAATCGTTTCAACCGTGGAAAATTTATTTTCTTGAATGCTTATTGCAATATGAAGCAAAGAGGGGTATTTTCTGTCTTATTTTTTAAAAAAAATATGCAGTAGAAAGAGCATTTAAGTTTTTATTTTAACTTATCAGTGGTATGTTTCCTCAACTTGCCAACCATTTTGAATTCGCCCACAATATGAACCGCATGCTGTATGTGATTTCTGGCTATGGCACCTTCCTTTAAGATAGGCCTAACCTCGGCCATTTTCCAGATGGTACGGAAAATTTCGGTCTTAAATTAACTATTTATGATGGAAGTTAAAGTAGGAAGGATTGAAGGCAGGCAGTGTTTTACTACACGTACTGTTATTTTATCATTCCCTGTAGCTTTACCTGTTGGCATTGAAATAATTTTGTTTTCAACTTCGCTTTTTACTATTCTGAACGAGAGGAATTTGAATTAGGAAAAGTTATACAAAGTCCAAATCCACTTGTTGGCACTTCCCAAAACCTGCAGTTTTTCTTCTTTGAAAATTCAAGAAATCAACATCTTTCGCAATCGATTGCTGCCATTTTTGTTCAGGATACTTCGTGTAATAAGCTTGTTCTTACATGAAGTTTCCAGATTAGCATTTCTAAACATGGCATCTTCTGGGTTCTGACTTGTGTTTAATTCATTTTGATGGGAAAAAAGACCCACTTACACGTTTTAGTGTGGTTTTGTATATACATTTTTAGTTTGTCATAGAATTTGGCTATCACTGAAAGGGAAAGAATGCAATGTTGCTCAAAGAAGTTTGCAATTTATTAGCGACAGCATGGAAAGTAGCACAGTTGAAAGTATGATTAAATATTGAATATGCAAATTTCTCTTATCATCAAGGTTGTTACTCGGCATTCACAAATGTCACAAATAGCAGTATGATCAAACGAGCTCAAGTGCGTTGTCAGAATATGGACAAAGGTGTACCTTCATCCTCTGGTATCAATATTATTAATGAAGAAACGGTATCAGATGAAACTCCACCCATAAAGAAAATACCGAAATCTACACACATTAAAACACACAAGTTGTTACATGTCTAGAAGTTGTTACCTGTTGACAAGTTGTGTTCCACTGCTTGTTTCCAGTTGTTGTAACAAGTGGTTGACAACTTGTAACAAGCTTGATGGTATGCGCTATTCCATTTAATATACAACATACCCCCTATGGATAAGAATTTTCTGAGGGGGGGGGGGGATTGAAAAAGCTGTTTCTGACGAGTTATGTGCATTGGCATCCGTTGATCTTTGCATTCTTTCTGAAGGGGGTAAGGCAAAAATTGCTTAATTTCTACCAAATTCCCATGAACATAGAACAAGTCATTCTTACAAATCATATGTTCTCGTTTATCGATTTGCCACTATTTTGGTGGAAAACTGACATACACAAACCTTGTGCCAAAAAATTAACAGTTAGCTGTTCTAATTTTATCCACTTATCAGGTAGACAACATTGAGAGAGTCTTAAAACTAAGTCTGTTTCTAAATATGACCTTTTCACCAAGATGGTGATAAAAAAATTGACCATTTTTTCACTAACAACAGAAGAAAATGATCAATTTTTAGAAATTTGAGTCATAATATCTTCACAAGGAATTTTTCTATAATAATAATAATAATAATAATAACACTTTATTCATTGAGGATAAACAGATAAAGTTACAACTTTTTTCCAATCTGGTCCTCCTAAACTCTATAGAAACAACAACAATAACATTAAACATGACTATATTCAGTACTTCCTATAGGAGTATGAACAAATGAAATCATGGGTACAATGTAAAGTATTAACCAGTACTACAATTCAGTTGTTCATACCTCGAGAAAGCCTCAATTTACTAATTAGGCAATTTTCTAACTATGTCTAAATTATATTTACAGTACAGTATAACAAGTCGAAATACGCGTTGACACACAACTCACAAGTGTCTAAAGTGACATGATAAACATGACAGTATTTGACACTTTCTCCATGTACGAACAACCGAAAGTAGATCATGCTCAGCTAAAACTGCAGGCATGAATTTTGGTAGTTCGTACATCAAGAAAGCAACCAACTTATAGTCTTAATAAAAGAGAAAACATGCAAACAAACAAACACTAAATGTTCTTAACAGCGAATACACTGTCACTGATACTTATTGGACTATATACTTATATTAAACAATTAATTACTGATGATATTTTTAGATATCTTAATAAAGCCTTATGCTGTTAAGTTTAGTTGAACTCATGAGTTTCTGACCAAAGTAACTCTTGCAATATGTGTTGAATGACGGCTGCGATGTTATATTTTCTTTGCCTCGTTAGGGAAATTGTTCCATAAGGTAGATGCTATAAATGAAAATCGTCGTTTTCCTGCGTTAGATCTTGCTTTTGGGATGTGGACATTATTATTCGCAATAGCTCTTGTTGAATGGTGGTGGGTTGGTTTTTCCATGAGGGTGCTGAGGCATGGTGGACTGATGTCATGTATGCATTTGAACGTCTGTAGTAGGATCCGGTGGCGAATGGTGTCATGAATTGGGATAAGGTTGATTTCTGTGAATAAGGTTATTGATGGGATAGTGTAATCAGCGTTTAGTAGAATCCTTGCGGCACGTTTTTGGAAACTGACTTAAGAGCGGTCGTCAGTAAATATCGCCTTAGGTGTGTAAAGTGTGAAAAATCAAAATCTCCCAAACTGTGTCAAAATAATGGTCTTTGGATAATATTTAAAGAAAAACAGTCTAAGGTTAAATAGATTTATATTTTAGGCACACGGCTACAATAATAGATTTCATGGCTCTGAAGGAGACTTCACCTTGATTTGACCACTGTCGTTTGAAAGCTTGTCTAAAAATCTGAAACTTAATGTAATCAAATAATTGAAAGTTTCCCCATAATACGAGTAACTGCTTCACATTTCAAGGGGTTGATAACTGACTTACGTTTAATATAGAATATTTTACAGATTTTTCAATGTTATGCTTTTTGGAGAGATTTTTTTGTTGACACAAAAATGCCCAAGTTTAAGGCTAAAATCACCACTGATATGTCTCTTTCGGTAACCAAATTATAATCCAACATTAGTTCGATTCCTCCTCTTCAAATATATGTTAATATTTTGGGGCCGTTCAATATTTTGTTTTTTATAAAGCGAAACAAATATACACTAAACGAGCTCCAAATGTCGAATAAATTACTGCCACGCAGACTGTCAATTCACAACCAATGTAAGAAAAATATTTTTTGCCCGTAAAAGCGCTTCATGCAAAGTTATTGTCCACGTAAGAAGTAAGAGGAACACACTCACCTACATTCTGTCCAGTTTATTAGTATCTTTGCTCGTATCTGCCAGGGATTAATGACATGAAGTTAATTAAGACCACTATATTAAGCTTAAATAACATGGTGAAGTACTCTTTCGACTTCGTATCATCGTTCATGACAAGAAACGTTCTGAATAACTTGAATAAACACATGCCAACGTTTTGTAGGGCTAAAACAAAATTCACCAGCCGAGATTTTCTCTTCAAAAATTTCAGGACAGCGATGATTTGAATTCTCAACAACACAGAGGTCTGTGTGACCCAATGATCAAGGTCACCACTGTCCCCGAAAGGTCAAATTACATCAACATAAAAATAGGTTGCGCGTCAAGATACTATATAAACTAATAAAAAGTTTATAGTCTTGAGTTTTTTTTATATGTGGAGTCGGCGAAAGTTGAAATCACCGATTGGCGATTCTATGAATATCAAATCTAAATGGCTACTTGCCGGTACTTGAGATTTGTCAGCGGGCAGTGCAGTTCTAGTAGGGTTTAATATCCCAATGGCTTTTCTTGTTTGACGATCGAAAACTGTCAGCGAAAATTTAAGAGCAGTCGAAAATAAATACCGCCTTACAGTAGGTGTGTAAAATAGGAAAAATCAAAATCTCTGAAACTCTGTCAAAATAGTCTTTGGGAAGTAGGCTATTTTAAGAAAAACAGGTCTAAGGTTAAATTGGTTTATTATAATTGTAATCCAGTATTAGCTGATTCCTCCTCTTCAAATACATTTTACATGTAAAAGTACTGAAAAAAATTGCCCAAGATGTTTTTCATACCAAGGTATTGTTCATATCGAGCTGAGAGGAACGCATTCACTTTGCATTCTGTCCAGTTTAATAGTAAATAAGCATGACATGCAGCTCATTAGCTTGAACAACTGCACGATTGAACTATATCGTTAATCAAAGCTATATAAGGAGCTTGTAAGTGGGCAGTTATTACAGAAACATCGATATGGAAATGCTCACAGATTACACGGAGGAGGGAGGCACTGAATTTCTTTAAGCTTTTTTTAGCAACCAAATTACAGAGGTTATACGAATCGTACACTATTGGGTGTATCAGCTGGCACTCCTTAACAATGGTACATCGTGTATTAGAGTAGGCCTCCTGGTCTTCGGCTGCAACTCTGTCTTCAGGTCTGTCCACTGGCTGTACTTGCCCCTTTTTTTGCTTTGACGCCTTTCGAGAGAAATATGATTGTATCTGCTGGGGGGGGTGGGGGGTCAGGAACTCATTCAAGGTAAAACGCCTATTTCCGTCTTGATCTTTGGCAAAACGCATGTCTTGACTCACTGTCACGGGATCAAGTTTGTGCCCCGTCTCATTGCCAATGTTAAACTTCTCATTAAGGTAGGATTTCTGCCTCTTGTTAAAGGGCTTGCTAGATTTAGTGGTTCTTAGTGCCCACCCCTGAGGCAGCATGTCATTTCGGTTGTCAAGAAGAGTATCAGAACTTTTCATCACAGGCTGTTCTCCAGCTCTGTGCAATAGTTTTTCCACATACACAGCCTTGGCCTTGTCGAGAAGGCTTTGTCTTTCCAGCTGCAGCTTGCATACTCCGTATTCCAAATGGCTTTCAAGGGATGAATATCGATGGTAATTCTTGATACACCCCTCAGTGGGACAGCTAAACAGTTCTGGCGACTTCTCTTTCCCGTCTCCATCAACCTCATTTTCATTGTCATCATCGTCAGCGTCTCTGTCAACCACCTTGTCGGTTTTTGTGCGTCTAGTTGGAGTGATATCCACAAAATCTCCAGCTGAGAACCCACAGTTAAAGGTAGAAGTGCAGAAGCTGCCAGGCACTAAAAATATCAAAATTGCATATAAAATAAGTCTGTGTCACCATGACCAATACCATTATTATCATCATGATCACAATCATAATCATAATTATTTGTAATTATATCTGTGGTGGACATTTATTTACCATTTAAATTGGCCCAGGGTATGATTTTCCCTTTTCCTATGTCGTATGCTCTCTATACTGTTATCTCTTTGTTATCGATTATGAAATTATTCAGCGTGCTTATGCCAACTATTTTTATGGGTTCCAAATGCTTGATTCCTCCTGCATCCACCAGTGCTACTTGTACACCACTTACTCTGCTGTTAGATAAAATGGCATCTCTTAGTTACGTTGCATTGACAGCATCATGACCTTCGTTGATGTAACGACAAACATGACATTTAATTGTGGCAGCTTTGCAATTGCATGCCCCTTTACCACCCTGTGGATCGCTGAAATCAACCCGGTGAACTTTTATACCAGTAGTTTCCTCCATAAGGCAACAAGCTGCCAACATGGGGCCGCTCTGGTAGCAACCGGCGTTGTCTTGGCAATATGCAGCAGAGGTTATATTTGGGTTCTTCTTTAGCTCTGTGAGGGTGTGTTGCATGATGGGTATGACCACGACAGTATCTTGGCTACAGTTTTCTACAATATGGACAAATACTTGATGCTGCAGTTTACCGTCTGGCAGCCGCCTTACAACAACACTAATGTACCACGATATTCCCCTCTTCCCGAACCAGTCCGTCTCTGTACTTTTGCGGCAAAAATTTCATTGCCCAATCTTGAGTACTTAAAACTGAGTTTTCGCCTAGTTTGGCCAGGATATCTGTGCGGGCTTTATCTTGTTGAATGGAACGTAACTGATGCTGTTTCCATGCATCTGGAAGTTTCTCTGCTGAATTTTTCACAAATGACTTTATGGAAGCAAGGGTAAAATTTAGCTGTTCGCAGGACGAGCAAGAATGATCGCGGAGATGTTTGCACGTAGGAGAAAAGAGAGGTTGCTTTTGATCACTCAAAGCATGTACGCAGCAGTGATCAGGGACATTTGATGCTCCAGAAACGTGCACCTGTAAAATATAAGAACAATAAGTTTTTACTAAGTTAAAAAATTCACTAGTTTCTTTTTTCTACTTTAAAATTACAAGAATCTGTGCTCCTGAGTCCAGTCGCCTCCCCTAACATCTGTGTTGCAGCGGAATTCCGTCAAAGGCTATTCTAATAAATCACAGGCAAAGGTTTTGTGGTCTCAACAAATATAATGTGCTATGTTTAATTAGAAAATGATTACCTTGTAGTCCGTTTTAATATATTGTTTTCCAGCTTTTTTAATGCTGCTTCACAAGAATTGATCAACACTTGATCACAACCATGGTTTTCGAGCTTTGTGAGTAACCCAGCCAGATCATCAAATGCCTTCGCCCCATCAGCTGAAATATAATCCAAACCCTGCAAAGACTTTCGTACAGTTGCTGTGCAAACTGACAAAATTCGTAATGCGGTTGAGGGACTCAATGGTTTGGTTTCGTCTTCTTTGCAAAACTGTGTGTACTGTGTCACAATTCTTTGTGGAATCATTGATTGAATTACGTTTGGACATTCTAGGACTTGGCCATTTGCTATCTGGAGGTATCGTTGGCCAAATGGTAGGTCTTGTACAACATGAGGACTGGTTATAAAGGAAAGGAAGTGATCCAACTGGCACTCGTCTAATCTCATTCTGGGACTTCTCTTCACTGGCACTGGCACCCCACGCCCATACTTAAGAATATGCAATCTGGCTTGCTTAAAACAGTATTCCGTTATACCAGGGATAAATTTCTGGATCTGAGAGAAAGGTACCAGATCTGCAATTATTCCTAAGATCTGTCTTTGGGTGTCCCAGCTATCAGCTGGTTGTGAAATTCCAAGAGCCTTTTCGACACTTTATGACGTCTGAATAGCATCCCAAATACTTGCTGCGTTGCCAGGTATTATCACTTCCAAGGCAGACACAATTACATTTGTTGCTTTTGTCTGCAAGGCAGACACAATTACATTTGTTCAAGATGTTTACTGTGTGTGGTCAGTTCTTCCCACCGCCTTTTGGGTTGACCGATTGATTCCGTCCCGCCACAGATATGGATAAATTCATTTAGTTTTTTCAGCTTCTGACTATTGGTGGTTGCCGTTATTGATCCATTACTGGTAGATGCTTCATCTGATAGAACTGCACTTCTTTCTTCTGCAAAGCCTTTGTTGATCTGATTGTTGCTGCTTGTATCTGGTGTAGATTCATTGGTGCTGCTTGCTTCGTCTGACAGGACAGCCTCTTCTACAATAGATATCTTACTAAGCAAATCACATAGGTTTTCCATATTGTTTCTGTCTTCTTGAATTTCCTGCAAGGCAACAGCATCACTAAATAAGCTTAGCTTGAGATGGAACAAGCAAGACCATTAAGAGAAGAGTCAAAGCTCCAAGGTACCTTAACTGACCTAAGTACTCTGTAGTATATTTTTAAACTTTCTATTGAATAGTACCTTATCCCCTGTTTGTTTTATGATCCGAAGCATATGTAATATACCAAGATGCATAGTTCAGCCCCATGCAGTTATAGTTAATGACGTTGGTCTTAACTTGAGTTATTTCAGTATCCTCAGAAGTAACTCTTTGTACATTTTGAGTACATTCTTGTGCTATATCAGTCAGTGTATGAGGGCTTGATTCCATCTCTACTTTTAACTGAGTACGGCATCGCCCACAAATGGCTGTTAAAAAGAATATCGTTATGACAATAAAAGACAAAGCAATAGAGCAAAAAACTTATTAATTAATAAGGCTGATTGGCCTTCTAAGTGAGAAATGATTTTAACAGACCATAAAGCATGCAGTACTTATGCAAACCAACAGGAACAAGGCACTTTGTAAGCCTGTAGAGTCCCTCAAACTGAGTGGATGTAATACCACGGTCTCCTTTATATTGTCCATATTTATGCTTGTACCAACAGGACCAGAGCACATCTTTTTGCATGTGTGCCATCTTATGCCATACAAATCCCGGTGACGCGGACACACAGTTATCTTAAGTTGCACACAAGTGCCATTGAATAAGCCTATGAACACAAGTTGACTGCAAAATCAGCGAGCGTCAATGGTACGTTTCGGTGTACTTGTTACTGCGCATGTAATCACTAGCCTAGCCTGGAGACAACCATCGCCATAATCTACTCTCCTCTGCAGAGCCTTACAAACTTTTAGTATAATTACGTAATATTGCTGGAGACACAAGTTATGTAATTGTTAGTCAAAACACGCTAGGTATGATGGGAAGACGGAAGTCAAACATTGGTCTCACCCCCCTCTCCCCCGGTCTTGTGCCACTGAATATCCTATATTATTTCCACAATCATATATATAATTGACTCTACGGAGGAGAGTGGCCATAATCGTTTGTAATAATTACTTAATTTTTAACAGTGTTGGATGAGGGGAAGGGTAGTACACAGAAATACTTTCCTTTAGATCCGACTCAAGCAGATGCATGTTATATTATAGGTATCAGACTAATTTGTATTAATAATAATAATTACATCGCAAAATAATATATCTCCCATGGCCATGATACAATTGTGTCAAATGCTAACCATCGATAGCAGTTTATGACATATCATATGCATGACTAACGAATATTGTACCAGCGAATATATGGGTTTTGTTTGCTTGCATTTCATACCTGCTCGAGCTAATAGTAGTTGTCCCTCGGTCTTTAAATTCGCATCTCTGACATCCAAGAAATTAAGGTGCCCTTTAATCTTTCGCTGACAGTTTGATTGTCAAACAGGAAAGATCATTGGGATAATCCCTACTAGAACCGCACTGCCCGCTGATAAATCTTGAGTACCCACAAGTAGCCATTTAGATTAGATATTCATATAGAATCGCCAGTCAGTGATTTCAACTTTCGCAGACTCCACGTATAAAAAAAACTCAAGACTGTAAACTTTTGATATATTTTTATCTTGACGCACAACCTATTTTTATTTTGTAATTTGACCTTTCGGAGACAGTCGCGACCTTGGTCATGGGGTCACACAGACGTCTTTGTTGTTGTGTTGTTGAGAATTCAAATCATCGCTGTCCTGAAATTCTCGGCTGGTGAATTTTGTTTTAGCCCTACAAACGTCGACATGTGTTTATTCAAGTTATTCAGAACATTTCTTGTCATGAACGATGATACGAAGTCGAAAGAGTACTTTACCATGTTATTTAAGCTTAATATAGCGGTCTTAATTAACTTCATGTCATTAATCCCTGGCAGATACGAGCAAAGATACTAATAAACTGGACAGAATGTAGGTGAGTGTGTTCCTCTTACTTCTTACGTGGACAATAACTTTGCATGAAGCGCTTTTACGGGCAAAAATATTTTTCTTACATTGGTTGTGAATTGACACAATTTGTAAGAATGATATGTTCTATGTTCATGGGAAATTTAGTAGAAACAGGACGAAAATTAAAGAGGTTGAAGCATATTGGCATGAGCAAGAGGCAAATGAGCAAGTGCAAAAAGTATTCAGGCAATAGGATAGCCAAATTTTGAACGTCTCTAACAGTTGGTACCAGTATGTGTACCCCAAACAACAACAGTAGGTAGGACTACCTGCAAAATAGAAACAAGACTTGACTTTTCTTGCAAAGATCCTTCATTTTTTCTATTAAAGGGCCTGTGGTTGAACCATCAAAGTTCTGTTTGTACTTTTCAAGTAGTTGTATCAACTGTGCTGAGGTTTTCTATATCAGACAGCTTTTACCTGTTTACATCTATTGTGGATTAACCCTGTTTCATCAGAAAGGCCTCTTCCATCTGCTGTACTGATGCCAGTCCCGCAATTCAGTTAAAATCATACTTGCTCACATGACCATTCCTTTCATAAAAGAAATAACTCCTACAGAGCTAATTCTTTCATAATCTGGCACTGACTGTTCTTTCCAGTCAGAGCCTAATAGGTTAACCCATTAGATGGGTCATGCAGTGAATCTCAAAATGATTCGGGGAATGTTTCCGTCTCCCAAGCTGATGATTATTCTTTTGAGAGGATGGTTGTGGTCCTCTCTTTGGTGAACAAACTCTCCAGGCAAAATTTTCTATTTTTATGTCCTTAAAATCATTGAAATTAACTGCACAATTTGGTCATGTAACAGAAATATTACATATGTCACTGTTATTCCATATTGCTATAATTTTCCAAGAGTAGCTAGGTTAAAATTTGTGACTGTTATAAGATTTGGATAGAAAAATTCCAACAATCAAAAGAAGCTGTAGCAAACCCTGTTATTATATTACTTATTTCCTTATTTGTTGCTGTGCTATTGCAATTACAGTATTTGTATATGAGAAAATGTATCAATTTTAGCCTGATATAATTACTAGGTGAACAGTTATTGGCCAAAAAAGTCATTACAGATGTTAAAGATGTCTTCTAGAGTAGGAGCCTCGGTGGCCAAGTGGTTAGCACACTTGTCTTTCACCTCTAAGGCCCCAGGTTCAAATCCCAATGAGAATCCCCCAATGTGACTCGAACCCAGTCCTCATGTGAAAAGAGTAAAAGTCAACCGCTCTGCCGAAGGCCGTAGGTTCCCTCCGGGTAATCTGGTTCCCTCCGGGTACTCCAGCCCCCTCCCACAGGGAAAGTTGACAGCGTGGGTTAGGCACTTAGGTTAGGGGGCAGATCGTTAATCAGGTATGGACTAATAGCTGCTGCTTAAAGCGCCATTTGTAAGCTCACAATCTGCCTCGGTCGGTGTCTGCTTTGATTTGATCATATACATATGTAAAATCGTGCAATAGAAATATTAAATATCAAATATAAATATGGTACAGCCAATTACACTCTAAACTTTTTGTGAAATCTAGACAATAACAGTGTTGCATAAAATACAGTAAGCCCATGTTTTTTCCATCTTTACAAAGCACATCATGTACAGTACTGTCCAGAAATAACCTAACAAAAACCACGGTTACCCTAGGTTAAACCTAGGTTAAACCTAGGTTAGACCTAGATTAACCGCAGTTTGAGTGAGGTTTGACGAGGTTTAACCTAGGTTGACTAAGGTTTACCATAACATTTGACCGAAACAAAAACCGTGGTCGACCTTTTCTGAGACAAAACCACAATTTTTTGTCCTGTAATCGGAAATTAATGTTTCCAAAATTGTTTCCAAATTTTCGCATCAAAGCGTCTTTCAATTTTGATTTTACAAATTTCGGGACAAATTTGTGTAATTGTGTTTTAAAATGCCGAAATTTTCCGCGTATGCTCGAGAAAGAGAGTTATTATATAACCTGTATTCCTCAGGAGAAGGCATAATCAAAATAACAAACTAACTGGAAGGGGAAGGAATAAAAGTTTCAAGATCAGTGGCTCCTACAACAACAGCACTTACCATGGAGCTTCAGAACTAGTGAGTAGATGTGCCCTCCCCCCCCATATAGCAGAATACTAATGAGCTTGTGATTTCCCTGCCATTAGGGATAGAGTGATGTCATTTTTGGAACATTTGTCACATAACATTTGTCGCATGATCTTTTTGAATTTTGAGATGGCGTCAGCAAAATGTATAAAAAAATAGGTATGCTAGGCGTACATGTATCTGCGCGAAGGAATTCCATAGTTGCTAAAGAAAAAAATTTCATTCACAATTATTAGTAAACATTTATATTTCGAAGTGACTATACCAGACCTCTCAACTTTGCAGAGAAGTTAAGAGTGAGATTGGGGATGTGGATGACACCGGAATGAAAAAATTAGGGGGCCGAAAAGAAATTTGCCCAACTTTTCGGGATTGTGTCTGACTAGTACCAAAAAATGCTTCAAATGCCATTTTCGGGGTCCAAATTTTGAAAATTTTCCATGGGGCATGCTCACGAGAACCCCCCCCCCAATATTTCATAAAGTGTCTGCCACTGTACTGTACCCACATTTAATGTATGCTAAATGAAAAAAAATACATACAATCTGTAAAGAAATTTTAATAACTTTAACTCAGCTTATGAAGCAATCATATAATCCTAAGATGTCCTGTAACTGTTAATGAGCCATATAACAAAATTCTAATGTAACATAATAATTCTGAATGCTTTGAATATATATAAAATGTATATAAACACAATTTTGACATCCCATACGGTATATATTAATTATGAATAGACAATCGATATTATTAAAAAAAAGCATGCATGCATGGTTACTCACAAAAAAGCTTTACAATGTTACTTCGGGCAATGATAAGCCAGACCTCTCAACTTTGCAGAGAAGCTAAGAGTGAGATTGGGGATGTGGATGACACCTTTGTAAAAGTCCTGGGGTCTGAAATGGCATTTCGTACATTATGAGAGTTGGCCATGGTGTTTTTTAATGAAATACATTAACGTCCTTTAAGACAAGGCACTGTAGTTACAATAACTGTATTTCTGCAACATACAGTAATGAGCTTTAATTTGCCTTTGATAATTTACATATAGAATTCTGCTCAGACTGATTCTGCCTTTTGTCCGCCATATTCACATATGCGTACTATTTTGTATCCAAATTGCGGGCAAAATGTCGGGCCGTATATGCAGGAACAATAACGCGATTATATATTCCATTCGCGATACGTATAATGATTATTATATAATTACATAGGTGATTATTGAAAATTCTCCACGCTGATTGGTTGCTGTTGAGGTGATTATTACGCGATAATCACCCAAGCGATTTTCAAAATG